CTATGGCACGAATTTATTAATAAAATCCGCTGTGACAAATATTTTTAATTAGTAAAAAAAGGGGACAAAATTTAAATCCGTTGTAACAAGAAATCAGCTGTGGCAAGGTCCACTGTGACGAGGTTTGATTGTATCTGCTTTAAGAAAATTTAAGGCAGGTTGTTAATAAAACCGAAAATAATCTGACCTTCAAAGTCAAATTTTGCCTTTATATTCATATGCGTAAAATTTGGTTTGACGCGTCCAAATATTACATTATTATGAATATTTAGATTTTTGATCACTTAGGTATGTCTTTTATAGTAAAATCATCTATTTTAAAAGTAAATATAACAAATAAATAGATTTTAAAATTTTTCTTTACCTATATACATAAATAGTGATTAGAATAATAAAAGCAACAATGATGATTAAATTAAAAGATGTTTTATCTCTGACTTTACCGTAAAGTCTGGAAAGTTAGCATCCCCTTTTTACATATGTGTAATATTTTTTTTATATTGACGCTCAATTGTTTTAAAGTAGGGGTGCTATCTTTCCAGACTTTAAGATATTCATTTAACTATTTATCATAATGATGTTATTAAATATAAGTTAAAATAAAAGAAATAATAAACAAGCAACAATTATGATTAAATTAAAAAGAGAAATTTATATACATAAATAAATAATAAACATAACTATTGAATGATTGATAAAATGTTCATTTTTGTGAAACTTGCTTTGCAAGCTTCATAGAACTTGTCCTTAATGCATACTTCGATTACTCCTATACAACTATTGAATAATTGATAAAATGTTCGTTAGTATATTTTGTTCATAGATCTTAAATAAAACGTTCGTCAGTATATTTTGTTCATAGACCTTGTCCTTAATGCTTACTTTGATCACTCCTACACAAACTATTGAATAATTAATAAAACGTTCGTTAGTATATTTTGTTCATAGATCTTGTCCTTAATGCTTACTTTCATCACTCCTATACAAACATTGAATAATTAATAAAACGTTCGTTAATATATTTTGTTCATAGATCTTGTCCTTAATGCTTACTTTGATCGCTCCTATACAAACATTGAATAATTAATAAAATGCTCTTTAGTATATTTTGTTCATAGATCTTGTCCCTAATGCTTACTTTGATCGCTCCTATACAAACTATTGAATAATTAATAAAACGTTCGTTGTATATTTTGTTCATAGATCTTGTACTTAATGCTTACTTTAATCGCTCCTATACAAACTATTGAATAATTAATAAAACGTTCGTTGTATATTTTGTTCATAGATCTTGTCTTTAATGCTTACTTTGATCGCTCCTATACAAACTATTGAATAATTAATAAAACGTTCGTTAGTATATTTTGTTCATAGATCTTGTCCTTAATGCTTACTTTGATCGCTCCTATACAAACTATTGAATAATTAATAAAACGTTCGTTGTATATTTTGTTCATAGAT